AGCAGCTTCAGGTAGGGTGCAACAGTTTGAACAACTCATTTTTTTTTGGCAAGATGAACAAACTTGTCGTAGTACGTAGTGGTTAGGTTGATTCATTCAAAAAACCACAAAGAAAACATTGTGATATAACACTTCGATCATATGTGTCGGCTATGGTTTGGAGCACGCATCTTGGCAAAGCGATTTCCGCGTTTCCATTTCACCAGTTTCTCAGTAGCAAGATTTCACCCTGTTGCCCAGATTTGGTGGAGCGCCAATTGCTGGGCATGGTGGACAGTGGTTTGACCGATAACACCGCCATCGGCCATGCAGTCAGCAGTGGCGCGAGGGAGATCTTCTACATGGGGCAAGTCATGTCGAATGGTGAACTGGAGGACTGGGAAACTCCGAAGGCCCTTCGCTCTTCACTATGGACCCGTTTTTCTCTGACATCTACACCGCAAAATCAACTGCCAAAGTGCATCGCAGCAGGAGCACCCTACATCGAATCGAAGGTACCAAACTCCTTTGCTCCTCTGAACAAGAACCCTCTCATGACTTGTGTCTCAAGCAGTGGAAGGTGGCAGCAACTTGAAATATCAGACGATCACCGTAAGAAAGTAAGACGATCAAGTTGCGACGACACGACACCCGAAAGAAGGCATCAATTGGTGGCACGCTGCGGCACGCTCGAAAGAGCTGGTCTTGGGGTTTGGGTTCCTCGCTTGGCAGGATTTCTACCGGGTCTTCGCCGGGATGCTTGGATTTCGCATGGTGCTTCCGCAGGACGTGAGAACATCAACAAAGACTATTGATAGACTAACCACCCGTAACTCCTGTACCACATCAAAAAGCATCATAAAAGAGCAGAACAGCATATCATTTTCTTACTGGCACGAGATCTAAGCTCATGCAAAGTGCAAAGATTCAGAACAGAAGACCGCAGCAGGGGTGATTTGGAGAACATGTTGTTCACTTCTGTTCACTTGCTTGTCTCACCACCAGTATCCAAGGAAGAAGACTGACACTCCGCTCATACCTCTCACAGCCCTAGACTTTTGCCCTTTCTGCAACCTGGATTGACCGCTGCCGGGGGTGTTTTTGTTTCTCTTCCACACAGGATTCCATTGAAAGATATTGAAAGGAAGCTTCATGAGAATTTGATTTGTTGAAGCGACGTTGAGCCAAGGCAAGGCAAACTTCCAGGTGTTTCAGCAGACAGAGTCTGAAGTGAAGAGCAAGCTTCAGGCGCATTGCAAAGCTTTTGAAGCTTCCAGGCAATCTTCCAGGTCCCCATGGTGTTGTAATAGAGTCAGGTCGAGTTGGAGAGTCGTAGAGGTTTCAGGTCTTCGAGCATGTTCCAGGAGGTGTCCCAGTTCTTCAAGATCTCTCCAACGTCTTCAGCGGTCACAGGTATTCGAGCACTGTGGCAGATTGTGGGCACGCAAAGCGGGGTGGGGCCAACGGTGTCCGGGAGGCTATTGGAATTCATGTTTTGCAGTCCACAGTGCTGGCTTAGCAGTTTGGTACCATCCAATTTCACACCTAATGTCAAACACATTGGGGTTGACAGGAGCAGGAACTGTCTTGACTAAAGGGCGAGATGACCGATGAGTTTTCGCAGGTAATATCATTGGGGAATTAGCATGCGTGTTGTTTCAATTTTTGTATGTTATTCTTTGGTGTGTCATGGTGCGTTTGTTTCAGGAACCTTCCGAGTTTCCAGAGCAGTTGCAATCAATCATCAGCAGGACAGTTTTATTTTTTGTTGATTCTTGTTGCTTCCATGTGCTTCCTAGCACCCAGGAGTTTCCCCAAGTTAGTTCAATGCTGCCATGTGACGAAGTCTGCCACATGAAACGCTTTAATGAGACCTGTGAAATGTGTGCCACACATTCGGGTTGAGAGCACTTGAACATGATCCATTCGCATCCGCCGACTCAAAACCAGCGGTGGGACGCGATTCGCACCGAGCCGATGGCCACTGGAAAAGGCTGCTGAGCGGCGGCCACTTGTGGAAGGGATTTGGTCCGGGACTTTGTGAGCCCGGCAACGGTGAGTGTTTGCGCCCGCTTACCAACATTGGTAGCGGAGCGCTGGACGCGCTTCGATGCCAGGAGGAGAGGGGACTACATCGACTGGTTCGCCTACTACCTCCTCGATGGCTGGTGGCACCATCGAAACGATGAAAGACACCTTCATCCCGGTCTTCAACAACAAGGTGGCGGACTACCGGGAGTGGAGACAGCGAATAGTGCTGTACAAGAAGAAACTTGCCCTCCAAGGCAAGGAAAAGGAAGCCACTTTGAACTTGCTCACGAGCTTGCATGGAACGGCCTGGAAACAGGTTGAACATATGGTTGAAGCTGTCTCCGAGTCCTCCGAAGGCTTTGACAGGGTGCTGAACGCACTCGATGTGGCCTTTCAATACGACAGCCGGGTCGAAATGCCAAGAGCCCTGGAGAAGTTTTTCTATCAACTGAGTAGGAAATCGGAGCAGACACTTCTCTCTTACTGCACGGAACACAGAGAGCAGTTGCGAGAAATAGAAAAACACGGGGTCAAAATTCCAGACAGTGTGTCTGGGTGGATGCTCCTTCGAAGAAGCAACCTGACGCAGGAACAGAAACACTTGGTGCAATCCCAGGTTGGAGCAACCATGGCGCTGTCGAAAGTGGAGGAGGCCATGTACTACCTGTACGGGCAGGACTTCAAGACAAAAGGTGAGACTCAGCCACGATGGAACAAGAACCTCATCAAGAAACAACAACGATGGTATCCAAGGAAGCATCAACAGGGCTACACTGCAGAAGAGTGGGAACCCGAGCTCTTTGACGACCCTGAGGATGCCTATAACCAGGAGGATGAGTTCCTTGAGGATGAGCAGGCCTTTGAAGAGTATGACGACCCTGACTCCACCTACAACCACATGGAGGAGGAGCTCTTTTACCAGGAGGAGCCATGGGTGGAAGATCCTGACCCACAGTTGGAGGAGGCTTACGCCACGTATTTGGACGCCAGGAGACAATTCGCCAACCTCAAGGCTGCTAGAGGCTACTATCCGGTGGTGGCATTGACTAGTCCTGCAGACCTACAAGGCACTTCAAGTTCATCTACCTCCACTCAGAGACCCGTCAGCAAAGGTGGAAAGGGGAAGAAAGGAAAAGGCAAAGGCAAGTCCCCACCTCAGAAGGGGAACGCCCTCCAACGAGGCAGAACAGCCCTTGAATCGATGCAGTGCTTCAAGTGTGGACGCTTTGGACATGCTGCTGAAAGTTGCCCCATGAACAAAGGGACATCATCACCCAAGCGAGCCAAGACAGATGCTTCTCCGAAGAGTTCTGGCCATGCCTTCATGATGCACGACCTCAATCAGCAAGGGACGCCAATGTTGTCTGATCGAGGGTGGTTTGGTCTTCAAGATGGAGGCGCAAGCAGCATGGTATGTGGCCACGAGACCTTGATGAACATCATCGAGTACATGTATGGAAAAGGGGTGCCCTTGGAGCGGTATACTTTCCACCCTACCACCAAGCTCTTTGGCTTTGGAGGTGATGCTATGCGTAAGGCTGAATGGACCGTTCGCTTGCCGGTGTACGTCAACGGTGCTTCAGGCCTCATTGAGTGTTTCCTGGTTGGTGGATCAACACCGCTCTTGGTGGGAAGACCGATCCTGAAGGCCCTCAAGGTGAAGGTGGATTGGGATCAGGACCTCATCAAGTATGGGGACGCAGATTGGCTGCCAGCTGTCAAGGGAGAACGAGGAGAGTACCTCCTTCGCCTCGATGATGGAGTGGAGGCAGATCCAAAAGGGGAGAGCGTCTTCTTCGACCTGGTCACCACTGAGACCTATGAGATGGTGCAGAGAACTGGAGTGATGCATTCCTCGACCTACACCTTGCTGCAGTATTTGGAAGCCACAGGCAGAGAGCCTCCTGAGCACTGCCTCCAAGCAGATGAGGACAATGCGACAGACGCTGAAGTTGCAGAAGAGCGACCTGTGGCTCTCCCAGATGAAGAAGAGACGGCAGCAGTGAAGAAGGAGATCACGGACAAACTACTTAGAGGTATCCGTGTCCACCATGCCACGATGTTCGCTCATCGCCGCACCGTGCTTGAACAAGGGCTCAGGGCTCATGAGCAAGGGGCCAAAGTCTTCTGGGAAGTCTACTCTGGTGAAGCAGGCCTCTCCATGGAGATGCAACGGCGGGGCTACACTGTCTTCAGCTTTGACCTCAACACTGGCTGGGACTTTGACTTTCCGGAGCACCGGAACTCCTACTACAAGCTCTTGGAGGACATTGCCCCCGACTTTGTCTGGATTGCCCCAGCGTGCAAGAAATGGTCCAAGATGCAGGCCCTGAACATGCTCACACCTGAGCAGACTTTTGCTTTGCAATGTGAGCGTGACTACGAGGAAGCTGTGCACCTCAAGGTGGCTGAGCGAACCTATGTCATCCAGTACAACGAAGGGAGAGACGCCGGAATTGAACACCCGGCATGGTCAAAAGCCTGGGAAACTCAGACATGGAGTAACCTACCTGGCTGGCCCTGTCGACTAGACCAGTGCGCCTATGAGACAAAGATCGCCGGTGAGTACATCAAGAAGCCCACCAGACTGCAGCTGACGAGCGCATCAATGGTCGACATGTTGGGCTGGAGGTGCCCTGGGGATCACACCCATCTTCAACTGGAAGGATCCCTGCCAGGCGTGGGTTCTCTGACTAAGGCCGCAGGTGCCTATCAGCAGACGTTCTGCTACTGGATTGGAGAGGCAATCGACCTTTTGTACTACGAGCCTGAGGAACTGGCTATGGAAGGAGGCGAGATTGACGATGAGGAGTACACCCCAACGATTGCGGATCACCATCGTGAAGATGAGCCCAATCAACACTCTGCTCAGACTACACCTCGGGGAAATAATCCATCCTCAGATGGTCCTCGAGGAAGAGATCAACAGCAATCTGGTGTGCTTCAACGTCTCCAGATCGCCGACAGTCAGCAGGCCAAAAGGACGATAAGCAGACTCCATCGAAATCTGGGACATCCCACCAACGCTGAACTCTGCAGGTTGCTCACTATAAAGGGAGCTCATGAGAACCTCATCAAGCACGCCAAGACTCATGATTGCGCTGTGTGTGTCCAACATCAGCGACGGCCTCAGGTGCCCGTGTCATCGGTGCCAAATGCCCAAGAGTTCAATACGAGGGTGCAGTCGGATACCCTGTGGATCAAGATGCCTCCTGCCAAGCGTGCACTACCTGTGATGATGATCAGTGATGCTGCTACTCGCTTCTTGGGTGGCCGTGTTCTATTGAGAGAATCCCCTGAGGAGTTCGTCTTGGCCCTGGAGCGTGGTTGGATTCGCACTTTTGGTCCAATGAAGATTCTGCAGGTGGATGATCATCGAAGCTGGGCATCTGAATATGTCAAGTCTTGGTGCTCAGAGAATGGGATTCAACTGCAGATCTCTCCGGGACAGAGCCACACACGCTTGGCCATTTTGGAGCGCCGCCATCAAGTCACAAGGCGAGCAATCGAGCTGTATGTGGCTGATCAAGAACAAGGGGATGTGCTACAGCCTCATGAGCCCAGAGAACGATTGATCCAAGCCCTATGTTACGTCGTCCCTCAGATCAACCGAGGGACGAACGTTCGAGGCTACAGCCCAGTCCAGTGGGTTCTGGGTTACACTCCCCATGTTCCCGGACTTCTGACTGAAGAACCGCTCGAGCTGCCAAGTCTGGATCCCTCTGATGAGTTCCTCCAGAAACTACAGCGACAAAAGAGAGCAGCAAATGCAGTCTTCTCAGCGGATGTGGATATTCGCCTTCGACGAGCCCTCAACAGAAAATTCACAGGCCAACTGACAGTCTTCCAGCTTGGAGATTTGTGTTACTACTATAGAGATGGACCTGGAGGAATCGGCCCCAAGCTGAGATGGCGAGGACCTGCCCGTGTGGTGATGGTGGAACAATTGGACAGTGGCCCACACACTACGATCTACTGGCTGGTTCATGGAACGAACCTGTTGAGGGCAGCCCCTGAGCACCTGCGACCTGTGCCAGAACAAGAGATGCCCAAGGCGACAGATGATGACCCTTTCTACAGAGCACAACAAGCACTTCAAGGAGTCCGAAGCAGGGGAACAACCCTCTACACCGATCTGACAAGGACCAACAAGAGGCAGCGCCATGAGGTCTCAAGCGACGAAGAAGATGAAGAATTTGATGACGAGGACCTTCCAGATGGCGATGATGAACATCCAGGCCTTGTCGACAGCTGGGAAGTATCAGCAGACCAAAAGACATGGACAAGAATACACAATGTTCCCAGGAGAGAACTCTACGTGCCAGAAAATGAGTCAGGAGTACCACTTGACAGGTTCAGCAGTGATCGCCTCACAACAGTGAGAAGGCAACCACCACATCCTCCCAGAGTCAGACTTCGTGATGACTGGCGAGTAATGGATGCCTCAAGATCCCTGCACTATACGTGGACAGGAACTACAACCTTTGTGGTTGAGGATCAGAAAGATGATGATTCTGACGTACTTGTTGAAATTCTTGGTGAGCCTGAAGCACCCACCGATCCTGATGAACCCCATGATGAACCACCACCAACGAATGACGCACCACCACAGACCAACAACGGAGGTACCGGACAACAAGCAGGAGATGCGTCAACGGGTGCTGGAGGAACTTCACCTCAACAGATGGCAGACAGGCCTGAAGTTACTGAGGCTCCACCTGCACAAGTACCAGAACATCAGAGACAACTCTATGAACCACAACCAACAGAGGATTTCCAGGCACAAAGGGCCAGAGTGGACAAGCAAGAAACATTGTCATTTCTTCGCAAGCCAATGGCCTATGGACCCATCAGATCAGAGTCAGCTCGGACAACTCCTTATGATCATCCAGCCCAAGAAGACCTCAACATTCAGATTGACATTGACGTGGAGAAAGTCACTGATCTACCACCGGGGTGGCACGTTGAAGATGGTTGGCTTTGCTTGGATGCCCCTACTGACGAATGGACGCTTGAAGGGAACTGGCTTATCCGGAATCACTATGTGCCCCGGAAGACGGCATACAAGCCTACAGAAAATGATTGCCCCATCGACCTCAATTACCTGGCAAAAGACAGGGTGACATCAACAACCCATGGAACCTTCAAGGATAGATGGAAACGTCAGAGCACCAACCATCTCATCGAGGAGGCCTTCTGGACTGGACAGACCAAGTTCAAGCTGAAACCAAACTGGCGGACCAAGGCTCAAGAAGACTACAAGAAAGCCAGTGGTGGGTACAAATCGATGAGGTCCATATCTGACCAGCCTATGAACAGGAAGAAGAAAGGAAAAGATGAAGTCTACGAGCGCTACATGTCCGTGGCCGACAGACAAGCCTTCATGAAAGCTAAGATCAAGGAGCTGGAAAGTTTCTTCAAGAATGAGGTCTGGATCTATGATCATGAAAACTATGCAGACCCGACAAGGATTTTGAAGGCACACTTCATCTTGACGTGGAAGAAGAATGAAGATGGCACTCCAAGGGCAAAAGCACGACTCATCACCCAGGGATTCAAAGATCCTGATGCCTTGTCAGGAGCCTTAACAACGAATGCTCCTACGTTGACACGACTGGCACGAGGGATGATCCTGAGCATTTGCCAGCTCTACTCCTGGAAGATGTTCACCTCAGACATTACCACAGCTTTTCTTCAAGGAAAGAACTTTGCAGAAGGGTCTGATCGAGTGATTTGGATCAAGCTTCCAAAGGATGCTAAAATGCTACTTGGTCTTGAAGCAGACGCACCACAACTGATGAAGCTGGTCAAGCCGATGTACGGACTGTGCGATGCACCAAGGGCATGGTATGAGGAGGCCTCTGAACGCATCCTAAAGGTTGGAGCTGGGGACATCCTACGGCATCCACTTGACCCATGCCTCTTTATGGTCTACAAACCATTGCCTGAAGGAACCCCACTTGATCCTACGGTGGAAAGGGAGCTCTCCTGCATCTTTGGCATCCACGTTGATGATTTGGTTGGTTGTGGAGACCCAAACGACCCTGTCTTCACAGAGACCAAGAAGAAACTGCAGGGAGTCTTTACCTTCAGAGAGTGGCAAGACGGAGACAAGCTTGAGTACTGCGGCAGTCAGATCGATTGCCAGCGTGCTGAGATGATCAAACTGAACCAAGAGGAATACATCCACAAGGTCAAGCCTATTCCGATCACCAAAGAGCGTCTCCAGAACCTTGATGACTTGGTGACAGAGAAGGAAAGATCTCTACTACGGGGACTCATTGGAGGCCTACAATGGCCGGCAACCCAGAGCTCACCACACTTGCAGGTGGGAATTTCCCAGCTGGCTGGAGAGACCTCCAAAGCAACAGTGGCAACATTGCAAAAGGGGAATAAACAACTCCGATATGCAAAGGAGTATGCCGATGTGGGACTGCAGTATCGTCGCTTGGGAGAAAAGAGCGAGATGACATTTGTCGTCTACAGCGACGCATCTTTCGCAACAAGATCAGACCTGAGCAGTCAAGGGGGCTACTTACTAGCTATGTGCCACCGTGATGTCGCAGATGGAAGATGTGAAGGGCATTACAACATTCTCGATTGGCGCAGCTGGAAATTGCCCCGTGTCGCCAGAAGCACTTTGTCAGCAGAATCTCAAGCAGCAAGTGAAGCAGCCGATAGCCTGATGTACACCTCACTGTTCTGGAACATGATCTTCAGAGCACTCCTTCCTTTGGACAACATAGAGACCGGTCATCTTCTGAACAGTCCAAAGCTGATCGTGGACGCCAAGGCCCTCTATGACATCCTGGTGAAGGAAGAGATTCAGGCGGCTACCGGAGCAGACAAACGGACAACAATCGAAGCACTTGTTTGCCGAGACAAACTGGCATGTTGCAATGGAAAAGTGATGTGGGTGTCATCAGAACTTCAATATGCAGACGGCCTGACAAAAGATGCAGCAGCACCCCTGCTGGGACAGAGATTGCGATCCCACATGACCAAGCTCAAGAGTGATGAGACCTTCCAGGCCTCCAAGAAGAAGAACGTTGCAAGCCGAAAGAAAGGTGAGAACATGTACGCCATCAAAAGACCAGAAAGAGCATTGTATGCAATGTTCGCCAACTTCTTCATGGACGTGACCGACGCCCAAGTGATTGTGGAGGGTGAGAATGGCACTATGCAGAAGAACCACATCCATGAGGAAAATGAACTGTTTGACTACCTCTTGATGATCCTCTTCACCATGACCTTCGGCATCATTCTGTGGTTGGTTGTGAAATGCTTTGACAAGTTCACCACCAGCAGGAATTCAACAAGCCCGACTCTGAAGAGCACCAGAGAGAGCTCAGCTCAGACGACTCGGACTGGCATGGAGGAGCAACGCCTTGTAGAGCTTCGGAAAGACAAGACAAAGCTTCAAGATGAAGTCTCCCACCTTCGTGATGAGTGGGCCCTTGCACAAGGCAACTTCCAAGAATACCGCCGACAAGTACAAATCTTGCAGCGGGAGAATGACAAGCTGAAGGAAGAGCTGGAGTCAACAGTCCAGCAACGGATGAAGGTGGCAAAACAGAATGCCTCTATGAAGCCAATTTTCATGGCAGCCATGGGTGGATGCTGGCATGCAAGTCGGAAGTGCGTTGCTGGGCGCACCGCAAATCTGGTTTATGAGCGACAACCATGTAAGGCATGCTCCCATACCTTCTTTGAGTCCTCTTCCTCACAAGCCACACTGGAGAGCACTCATTGGTCGGAGTACACGCATGGCGATCTGACTGGAAGGGCAACGTCGTCCGACACCCCATGGTAGCATAGAAGTGTTTGAAATGCATGATTTTCTTTGAATTTCTTGAACTGGCTTTCCACCCGTGTGAAATGTGTGCCACACATTCGGGTTGAGAGCACTTGAACATGATCCATTCGCATCCGCCGACTCAAAACCAGCGGTGGGACGCGATTCGCACCGAGCCGATGGCCACTGGAAAAGGCTGCTGAGCGGCGGCCACTTGTGGAAGGGATTTGGTCCGGGACTTTGTGAGCCCGGCAACGGTGAGTGTTTGCGCCCGCTTACCAACAAGACCTGATTCGTTTGCTAGGTTTTCGTTTTACAATGGTGTATTCCCCTCAGTCTCAGGGTGTTTCTTGATGGATGCTCGAACGATTCGAAAAGTACCGCAACCATCTTGGTTCTACACTCATTGTTCCGAGTCATGACCTCCCCAAGGACAAACTCTAGCACGAGACTGGGAACATTGTGGTATTTCAGGGTAGTTCTGGGTGGCCCTGTGAACCTGGCGGTCATGATTCTATAGACTATAGAGTATTTTTGCATCAGACAATGTGCCCACTCAGGGTGGCATGGGGAAAGAGAAGTGGCAACGTGCCAGACAATAAAACATTGCAAAAAAAGACAAACATCTTCTAGTGTTTTGCCACTTCACAGGGTGGAGACCCTTGTGGTGGTCGCAAGGACATGAAGACCTCGGAAATTTGTCGGTTCGGATTGCCGTGTCCTGAAAAAATATGTCCTGAACATATGTCAGAAAAGATTTTCTGGTGAGCAAACTTTCTGTAAACAAAACTCATCCGAGAACTGTATCGGGATTCTCATGGATTCTCCTAACATCTCCTAACCGGATTGGATTGATTGGAGTCTTGATTTTATATGTTAGGAATTGTTAGGATCTAGATGTAAAGCAGGAACCCTTGATTCTACAAACCACCTACATACAACACTCATTTTTTGACAAATGCCTTGGCAACCCGGAACCTTGATTTGATAGAGATTCGATTTGTCTGTCTTTTCCAAATTGAAACTGGACACCTTGATTCTATAGATGTTGAACCGTGTTGAACGTGGGGGTCGCCAACATTTATATCTATAGAATGGTGGCGGTGAAAGAGCAGTTCTTGTCCAAACATTGAAGCATCAACTGATGCTGGCAGCATTCCAGGGCCCCAAGAAACTTACCCAAATCATCAGACTCGGCCACTCCGGACTGCCCTTGCCAAAACATGGGCACTGAAGGTAGCGACCTTGAATCTGACGACCAGCCAGTGCGACTACTTTGGCATCGAAGCAGATCGAGCAACCAGAACCGCCAGTATACTGCAGGGTTTGGAAGTCGCGGGGATTTTACTTGGGCAATGCCATGGTGTGGAACCGTCACCCTTGAGGGAGGGGGAAAGCGTTGTGGGTTCCTAAATGGGGTGTCAACAATGAACAACATGAACGCGAAACACACGGGGGAGAAGCCTTTGTGCGATGGTTGTGTTAGATATCATCCGGCAAAAGTTTCGTCGTCCAATTCGAGGTCCAAGGCTGGACTGATGCCGAGGCAGTGACCTTGAATCTGGTTGTCATCGAAAGCCCGCTATTCATGGGTGGCTTTGCTTACTCGGACTACGCGACCATGGTGCAGGACATGGGGCCTTCAAGGAATGGCCCGAAGATGCCCGAAGAAATTGCAGGTATTCTTGAGGTCTTTGAACCCACTAGTCAAAGGGCTCAGACGTGGTTCGCGGAGCCTAAAGGAGGTGAAGATGTAAGCATCAAACAATCAAGCAAAGGCCCACAAGCATGTTCTGAGCATTTTGAACATGTTCCAAGAGGGGACAAGGGCAGAGAAAGAAACTTGCAGGACATCATGGATGCCTTTCGGAACCCTGAGAACAGCGGCCTGGTCAATAAGATCCTCCGCTGGCTGAAGCTTTGAGTCCTTCACCCACGGTCAAAGTCTCGTGGCAGTCTCCTCGGCTTAGCCGAGGAGACCAGGAAGGGTGCAAAAGAATGCTGAAGATTGAGCAATTGGAATGAGCGGCATTGGAACATTTTTGTCACATCAACATGGAGCATGGGTGCTTCCAGTAGTGCAATCATGCCTGGAACGCTGTATGAGTATTGTTCAAACATCACACTAGAGAAGAGCTTTTGCAAGCAGTGGTGAGCCGGCCGAAGACACATTCGTGTATGCTACACTAGGCTAGAGTCTAGAGAAGTATGCACTTGAAAAATCTTGAAAATATATGGCAAATGGCAAAGAGTTCCTCGTGACACAGACCTCTTTTGGTTTCATTGACATCTAAAGTCCGCCTGGATTTGATTGGCAATGTAGCAACTTGCAGCGTTTGAACCAACATCAGCCGCTGGTTTGCTCAAACATGGACTTGAAGACTCTGACCTTTGCTAACCATGGGCCAGACTTGAAAGATCTGACCTTTGCTTTAAAGAGAGGTCAAAAACATAGACCCTTCGGTAGACATTCTCGGAATTCCGAAACACAGTTTAGAGCGAGCTACAAACTCCAGGTGACGTGTTTTCCAGCCATCCCAGCTCCCGCAAAAAGCTGACCCAACAACTGCCTCAATTTTCATCGGAAGGACGCATCGGGGATCCAAGACAAGACAAGAGCTTTAGAGATATACACTCCCAGCTTTTCTCTCCACCAGCGGCCGGGGCTTGCTTTTCAGCGGGCGCTTAGGCTGGATGTTGGGGTAACAATAGCAGGGTCTTTCGATGCTTGTTGTTTCCAGATCCTGGCAGGTCGAGGAATCCTCACACCTCGTATCCAAAGGTAGACAGTCCTCAAGACGATGGAATTCTTACGATGTTGAGCTCTTTTTTCTATACCAGGTCCATGGCTGCGCCCAATGTCGCGGCGGATGGCTTGGAGGTGATCTTGACGCCCTACAGGCGACAGGGTGCGGCAGGTGGACGTCCGAAGTGCTGACTAGGTTCTGGCTAGTTCAGTTTTACGATGTTTTACATAGTTGCGTGCAAGACATACCAAGCCTACCACACTAGCTCTTTTACTGGGGCAAGCAGTCGTGTAGACTGGTTTGAGACCCCCAAAATTCATGATGTGGTGAGGCAACACTGCAACGCTGTCTATAGTCTATAGATGTCTACAGGAAGATCCGATCCCAGAGAACCACTATGACCGTCCACGTCCAAATGCCAGACCAGCCACCCACCGTTCACAATGTGCAGTTCGTGAGTCCACCAAAGCAGTATATATATATATATATCACTCCCAAAGCACTCAGCCTCACCCAACAAAAACAGAAGTGGCGCAAGAAACACTGAGATAGAGCAATTTCACAGAATATCCTTTGTCTGAAAATCCTTTCAACAGTTCAACAGGTGTTTATCTACTGTTCTTTAGGCTACTCGTTCTTGCGGTGGTTGAATGCGAAGAGACCCCAAACAGTGTGTGTGAGGTCTGTGAGCAGAAAGTCTACAGATCTAGACGCGGGGTCCAGAGAGGTGATGGTGGTGATGAAGGTGGAGATCGTGGTGATGGTAGCGGTGGTGGTGAGTGTGACTGTGAGTGAGAGTGAGAGTGAGAGTGTGAGACTGAGAGTGAGTGTGAGAGCGAGCATGTGTGCGTGTGCGTGTGAGAGCGAGCATGTGTGCGTGTGCGTGTGCGTGTGCGTGTGCATGTGCGTGTGCGTGTGCGTGTGCGTGTGCGTGTGCGTGTGCGTGTGC